AAGCGGAAAGGAAAGAGGAAAGTAGATCAGGAGAATCGGTGGCGAAGGAAGGACCGACAAGGCGGACGTGGAGAGAAACGGGAAGGGAGAGGGAGACGAGGGAGGAGATGAGGGAAGGGATGTGGAAGGAAGAAAGGGAAGAAAGGGATTTCTTGAGGGAGGAAGGGAGGGAGGAGAAGGAGTCGTTGGTGGACTGAGGGTCGTGGCGGAATTGCTGAGTTAGGAAGGTATCTAGGCCGAGGAAGGGGGCTGAGCTGGTGGCGGGTGGGTGGAGGGCGGTAGTGGCGAGAAAGATCAGAAGGAGGACTGTGGTGGGCATTTTGGGGGGTTAGGGTTTTTGGCGATGGCAGATACTATCTAATAACCTTTTCCTGGTAATACAGTCATCTGTGAGTCTGTCACTGTGACAGTGTGACCTCAATTAATGGAGTGTGCCTGAGAATTGAGATGGCCTGGATTGCAAAAAATGGAAACCCAAAGGAATTAATTAGCAAGATCTAACAATCGTTTTGTTCATAATTTGCGCCTCACTACTTTAGTTCTGCCGAATTTGACTAAATTTCCACTATGAAATTCGTTTACACGAAGTGCACATTTTACAACCGTTGATTGGAGACCATTCCAGTATCAACACACCAGTCCTTCATCAATGGTTATAATGGCGGATTGCACAGGTTTCAAATCATGGTTGGTACTATGGTCTTCACGGCCCCTAACCACTGCAGCTAAAGCTGGGTGCGGGTGCAATAGGTTCTTGTTTATTGTACATCATTATTCAGAACAAGAAATCATCTTTTACAAAAATAATACTAACTTGGAGGAAGTTGAATCCATCAGAATACAAGTATCTCCCAGGAAACATACTTTTTTGGAGTTATTTCAACAAAACACACAACAGATGCTAACAGTCTAGATAAACAACATTGAATTTAAAATGATGGATGCAGTATGCTATAAGGTAATTTACAGCAAAGGTCATATGGTTGTTCCTAAGGAACACTGGTGCACCTAAAATATGAAGACAACACTGTCATGAACTCTGGACTTCTGGTTTTGAGCCACACACTCTGATATCCACATCAAGTTCCTGATCTCCTGCTCCCTTAACCTCATGTATGCAAAGAAAACACCATAATGGAACTGTAGCCCATTGACACAGAAGAAACCAAACGTTAGGATTTACGAATATTCAATCATGTCTAAGATTAGACAAGAGTC